TATCTAAGGTGGGACTAGAACTCCCAGTTTCCTGGTTTCTAGCCTGGTGCCTTGACCATGAGACCAAATCTCAGATTGTACACCTCTAAAATGAATCAAGCAAGAAACAAGAATTGAAACCTTTGTTTAGTGATGAATATCTTTTCCTTGTTTCCTTTTTTGTTCATTACTGAACTCTATTTTAAAATAGAATAGAATAACAGAGTTTGAAGGGACCTTGGAGGTCTTCTAGTCCAACCCCATGCCCAGGCAGGAAACCCTACACCACTTCAGACAAATGGTTATCCAACATCTTCTTATAAATTTCCAGTATTGGGGCATTCACAACTTCTGCAGGCAAGTTGTTCCACTTATTAATTGTTCTAACTGTCAGGAAATTTCTCCTTAGTTTTAAATTGCTTCTCTCCTTGATTAGTTTCCACCCATTGCTTCTTGTTCTACCCTCAGGTGCTTTGAAGAATTCTATTTCTCTATTTCTATTTCTATTTTACCTCTACCCCTACCCCTACCCCACCCCTACCCCTACCCCTATCCTTAGACAATTGGTTCAGCTCCTTTCCCAAAAGCTATTGCCATGGTTTACAATCTACATTTGAGAGAAATACAGGAAGAAAGTAGCTCTGTGAACGGCCAAAAGTCTTTCCAAAGGGTTTCACAAAAATATGTATGTGAGATTTTAAAAGCGCTTTGTATGAACAGAGAGAGCTGTCACCACAGGCACTGCAACCATCAGAGGCAGCAAAGAATGACAATTGCCTTTAAATTCAAACCAGACGTGTCTAGTCCTGCATCCTGTTTTCCAATACACTGGCCAAATAGGATGACCTCTGGATAGCAGCCAGCTTGGGCTTGATGGAGTCAGCTATCTTCTATAATATCTGGTTAGTGTGAGATGGCATGGCTCAGTGCTGAATGAATTGATTCCATTTAGCTTGTAGAATGCCTTCTTAGGATGACTCGCTTGGTGTCTGTTGTCGGGGAAAGATTTCTTCTTTTTTAAAAAATAAAAACATTTAAGTTTACTTGTTAGATATTTTGCATTAATCACAATTACTGGCAATTTTTCCTTTTGTTATTATGCAAGTGCTGTTTTATTTTGCAGAGAATCTTAACCGTTGGAGAAATCCTACATGTAACTAAAATACAAGCGAATCCATATAAGATTGATTGGAGGAAAAGAGAGGTGCATCTAGCTCACCAGCATACTCTTAACACAGATATTTGTTGTTCAGAAAAAGAGCTTTGTTGGATGAGATTAAATTGTACAGGTTGTCCTTGATTTACAACAGTTCGTTTGGTGACCAAAGTTACAACGGCACTGAAAAAAGCAATGTGTGACCGTTTTTTCATACTTACAACCATTGCAGCATCCCCATGGCCACGTGACCAAAATTGAGACGCTTGGCAACTGACTCGTATTTATGACGGTTGCAATGTCCCAGGGTCACGTGATCAACTTTTGCGACTTTCTGACAAGCAAAGTCAGTGGGAAATTCAGATTCATTTAATGGCCGTGTTATTAAGTTAACAATTGCAGTGATTCACTTAATAACTGTGGCAAGAAAAGTCGTAAAACGGGGGGGCGGGGGGAATTCACTTACGGTAATTACTGTCTCACTTAGCAACAGAAATTTTCGGTTCAATTTTGGTCGTAAGTCGAGGACTACCTGCATTTCCTCCCTTTCCAAAACCTGTCAGTCAGATGCCTTTAGAAAGCCCCCCAAAGAAGGCAAAAAAGCTAACAGTTTTGTCCATGTTTCCTTTTCTTGGTATTTGGCACTAAGGCCTAGACTGCCCCGATATTTGGATATTTCACATAGACATGATCTTGAAAATGCAGTTTCAGAGCCTTTAAAAAAATGTAAGAAGATGCTGGATCAGCATTCAGCTTTCCGCTTTGCCTGCCTCTTTTCATTTGATTTCACTTCCATGTTGCGAAGCAGTTCTCCTTTTCTTGCTATATTTATGCACTTGCCCTCTGATTCACTCTTGGTGGAGGCAAGAAGGATTAACTAGACAGACCTCCAGAAAGGCAGATCCTTTCATCCTTACATCCGTTTTACTTCATCAACAAACGTCGGGATTTTGCCTACTTTGGTAGTTTTGGTTTTCATCAACATGTGCTTCCATCGTTGCTTCCCTTTTCTTGGGTCATTTCCTTCCTTAGAAATTGGTTTCCTTCCATTTCTTTTTTCTGCTTTATTGTGCTCCTCGCATCCAGCTTTTCTTCCTTATTCAGTTAGCAGGTGAGCGCACTGATGTTCAAAATACTCAGGAAGAGGGTGATCCTTGCCCCCGCTGTCTTGCAGAGGATGGTCTCCGTCTCATTATAAATCCTTGTTTCTCTGGATGAGGCTGTGATGGTGTGAAACATTTTACAACTCTGAAATCTTCTCAAGCTGTGGGTGAAGTTCTCCCCTTTGTCCTCTGGGCAACCATGTGCCGCTGGCATGTAAGCTACAGTATTGGGTGTAAAATTGTCCAAGATTAGAAATAGCCGTCTCAGCAGCTGCTTTGAAATGTCCACACATGTGAGCCTAGCTGTAGAGTGCAGACTTTGAGGGAACGAAACTGTCCGAGCTCCAATTTTCTTCTAAAGACTGAAAAGTATCCCCCTATCCATTCTGTTCTTTTTATTCTTTTGAAACCCTGAATCGCCCGATCATTTTCTTCTTAATTGACCTTTAAACAGAAGGGTTTCTAATGTTTTGATTGCTGAAATTTTCTAAGTGTTTCTAGTTTACTAATGGTTAGAAATGTTTATTTCTACGTCATTATTAAATAAAAATAAATCGTCTGAAATGTTATAATGTTTCTAAAAGTTTCTAACGTTTTGATTGCTGAAAGAGAAAAGAAAGACCAGGGGTGACATGATAGCAGTATTCCAGTATTTGACGGGCTGCCACAAAGTAGAGGGGGTCAACTTTTTTTTTTTTAATTTTGATTTATATGCCGCCCCTCTCCGGAGACTCAGGGCAGCTTACAATGCGCTAAGCAATAGCCTTCATACTTTTGTATATTTATACAAAGTCAGCTTATTGCCCCCACAAACTGGGTCCTCATTTAACCTACCTTAGAAAGGATGGAAGGCTGAGTCAACCTTGAGCCTGGTAAGATTCAAACCTGCAATAATTGCAGGCAGCTATGTTAATAACAGGGTGCTTTAAACCACTGTACTACCAAGGCTCCTTATTTTCCAAAGCATCAGAATTCAAGACAAAAGACAATGGATGGAAACTAATCAAGGAGAGAAGCAACCTGGAATTAAGGAGAAACTTCCTAACAGTGAGGACAATTAACCAGTGGGACGGCTTGCCTTCAGGAGTTGTGGGTGCTTCATCACTGGAGGTTTTTAAGAAGAGACTAGACAGCCATTTGTCTGAAATGGTATAGGGCAGAAGTGTCAAACTCATGGCCCTCAGGCCAGATGCATCACGTGCTGTCAACACCCACGCCGGGTTTAGCAAAGGGGGGAAAAGTCACAATATGTCACATGATGCCGCCATGATGCGAGTTTGACACCCCTGGTATAGGGTCTCCTGCTTGAGCAGGGGGTTGGACTAGAAGACCTCCAAGGTCCCTTCCAGCTCTGTTCTGATTGACTGAAATAATATAACTTGGACAGCAGCTTTTAGTCAGGTAGCATCTCTACGTATAACTAATTTATTTTATTTTATTACTTTGATTTATATGCTACCCTTCTCCGGAGACTCAGGGTGGCTTACAATGCTTTTAAGCAATAGCCTTCATACTTTTGTATATACCTGCTTAGTAGGGCTTTTGCCCCCCCCCAAGCGATGTTCTATTTTATACAAAGTCAGCTTATTGCCCCCACAAACCGGGTCCTCATTTTACCTACCTCGGAAGGATGGAAGGCTGAGTCAACCTTGAGCCTGGTGAGAATTGAACTCGCAGTAATTGCAGGCAGCTGGCAGCTAAATACTACTTTAACAGTAGTTTAGTCCACTGCACCACCAGGCTCCTCCTGCACCCTAATGTACGTATGCCCATAAAGTACTGCAGAAATCAAAGCAATCGATAGACAGACTTCCAAATTATCTGCATGCAGCGTTTGACCGGAAAACTTTCATGCTGCAGTGCATTGAGACATGGAAGAGTCAAAAGGAATCTTAATGAAAACATAACCCATGATGTGGCTGAAATTTGCCCTGTAGCATAGATTGTAAAATGGAAGCTAAACCACCATAGTAAAAAATATGTTATCCTACATTATTGCTTGTAAAATTCTACAGCTTTCATGTATATTATGTGTTTCAAATACTTAGCTATTTATCCTCGCGAAGAAAAGAACCTCACAGAGAAGCATTTGGGCACCAAGGCAGGTTCCCAATTGATGTCCCATCAGGAAACCAAAGCCATTTCATCCGAGAATGGTTGTGTTGCAAAGGCAGATGTTTTCTAAATGCTGTTGCTGAAATTCAGACTTCCTGTGTCTTAGAGATCACTCCTGTTCAGCATGCTACAGTGTTGAAGAAAAGATCAATTCCAATAATTTTTGCCCTGTCACCCTTTTCTAAGCTCAGTAAAACTCATTGGCTGCCTACAGTAAGCCTACAGTCAATGAAAAGCTTTATAGCTATTGCTATATTTCACCCGTTGTGACCAAACTGACATTTACCTTTGTTTTTTGTAAACCGTGCTGATATGGAAACATATAATTTAATGGTTTGTGGATTTTTAAAAATTCTAACAGCTCCCCATAGATTTCAGATGTTGCCAGAGAAAATGCCCAGTTCCTTAGTTACCCTTCTGACACAAATTTTGGAATTGTTAATAAGCTGTCATAACCTAATATTTGGAAGCTGCATGGATTTCTCCCTCGCCTTTCCTTTAGAAGCCAGTAATTTCAGATTAACATTTTTAAAAAGCTTTAGCTGGTTCTAATTTAGAACTAATATTATGTGTGTCCTGCCTCCCATTTTATTTCTCCTTTCCTGCATTGTACAGTGTCAATTAACAGTGTACATTTCCATTGGTAGGAAATGAATTGGTTCCAGACCTTAAGTGGGATATTAGCCCAGCAACTGTACTAACCTAATGGTAGATGACCTGATCTTTTAACTACCTCTATTGCCAAACCAGCTGCCTTAATCAGTCTTAACCAATGTCAACAATTAGGTAATGTCTTATCTTAATCATCCCATAATCTGTGTTGGTGTGCTTGAGTGCGTGTGAGGAAGAGAGAGACAGAATCTGTACTTGAACATTCAAATTAACAGTTTAAAGATGTTGTATAATTCCCTTTTTGATTAGAGCTTTGAGGCAGAAAGCAGTGAGAAAGCTGAATTCATCTGTACTTCGATCTGGGTCAGAGTAGGGAGAATATTGTTTTCAGTCTTAAAAATGAGAAAAACTTCATTTTCATTACTAATATATGTGTATGTGAGAGAGCATATTTCTATATTTCTAGGTAGCCCCCCCCCAAAACCAACATCCTTAAATATATCAAAATTCCTTCTTTTCTGATCACAGTGAATATCTAAACTAGCTACCACAGACTCCCAACTTCTGCACAATTATGTACAAGAAGAAGAATAACAGTTTAAGGCATAGTTTGTTCATTGTTGACCGAGATCAGCCTCTTAAATTCTAATTTTGTCTCTACCCAGGGATTTCACATAACCCTTGACCTAGTGTGTGTGTGTGTGTGTGTGTGCGCGTGTGTAAAACACACCCTTCAAGGATAGGGGTTGCCTAATTCTTCCCTGCTACAGTTGAGGTCCTCATGCTCTATTTTCTTCACTTCTGCAGGGAGCAACCAATTTTTAGCACCAGGGCCCACATCTTTCAGATTGATCCTGCCACCAAGAGGAACTGGATCCCTGCCAGTAAACATGCCTTGACAGTGTCCTATTTCTATGATGCTACTCGCAATGTCTATCGGATCATCAGTGTGGGAGGCACCAAGGTGAGACCTAACAGTCAAACAGCTTCTCCCATGTCCAGTTTCTTGTTTTAAAACAATGATACTAGTATTGAAAAATAATTGTGATAATTATATTCATCAGGATCCAATCTGGGTCAGTCAGTGGGACCAGAGCTTTTCCAAGCTTTCGGAAAGCCACTTACAACAGCCGCTATAAATACCACACACAGAACAGTACACACTCTGGTAGAGAGAGGTTCCCTGAAGATGGACTCCAGCACGAGTCCGAAAGCTCAGAAAACAAAATCTCTGGTCCTGGTGACCGACCCAGATTGGATCCTGCAGCATTATCCTGGGACACATATATTTGTCTTCATTTGTAATTATATTCTGTTTTCTTTAAGGAACTTAAAACATATACTACTTAATAATTCTTCATAACAGATTCTGTGGGGTGAATTAAGTTGAAATATGATAAACAGCCTCATGTCAACCCAGCCGAGGCATGTTCAGCTGACAGCTCATTGCCGAATGGGAATTTCTACCCATATCTCCCATGACCTTGTGATCATACTGCATTGGCTGTACCAGAAATACTTTTTTTTTTAATTAATGAAACAGTTTGATTTGATCATGCAAAATTCCAAAGTACGCTTATTCAGATTTCCCAACGGTCTTGATTTAGAGCCAATGAAGAACATTTAAAAACATTTGCACAATGTTCATAATTGTGCAAGCATCTCTTCAAAAACTTAAGTTGTAAGGGTGGTGTGTGAGCTGCCCAGACTGGATTACCAGCAAGATGGTGGGGGAACATACATTTAATTTGTTGTCGCCTGCCTGGGCATCGCTGCATCCTGCACCCATGCTTCCTGTCATTTTTCAAAAGCTATTGATACAATTGCCAGTTGTGGAAATTATTCCTTTTCTAATCTAACTCTAAAAGTCTTGGTGTTTGTCTTCCTTATAGGCCATCATCAATAGCACCATCACCCCCAACATGACCTTCACAAAGACCTCACAGAAGTTTGGCCAGTGGGCAGACAGCAGGGCCAACACAGTGTATGGGCTGGGCTTTCCTTCTGAACAACATCTCACTCAGGTGATGAATTATAGGAATGGGATGGGGGAAAGGACCATTTTACTAAAGAAGTTTTTCAAAGGTAGTTTGGATCCTACTCGCTTTTCCAAGAAAACCCAGGCAGAGTTTAGCGGGTGTTCTCATTTCTTTCATTGTTTTAAAATGACAAAGACCAGTGTTTCAATCTCAGGAAGGATTTTAACAGCTTTACAGAGTAACAAGGCCAGTTGTTGGCAACCAAACTAGATCAATTTCCCCGCCTTTCATGGTGTATTGGACCATGTCATCAACCATCAATCCCAACCTGCAAAGCCGTATGGCAGGGAAAGAATAGGAATTCTATTTCCACAGATCTGGAGGCCAACAGATTAGCGAAGGTTGATATATAAGCATGATATATCTTCCTTAACAGCCCTTCTTTTGAACAAGAGACTCCTCACCCCCGAGGTTTGCTTGATGTATGATTTAATATATTTTTAGCACTAGATGAAATTTACATTTTGAAAGTATTCCCATCATTATAAACTGATACTTTGCCTACAGTTTTCTTTCAATTATCTCTTTATTATTTATAATACTCACTTTTAATGTATTAAGGGTTTTGCCTTGTCTTTTTTTTCCTCACAATCATCCTGTGAGATGGGTGAATGTAAGAGAAAGTACACAGTATATGACAGTGGTTCTCAACCTTCCTAATGCCGCGACCCTTTAATACAGTTCCTCATGTTGTGGTGACCCCCAACAATAAAATTATTCCTAAAACCGTTGAAAATATGTGTTTTCCGATGGTCTTAGGCGACCCCTGTGAAAGGGTCATTCGACCCCCAAAGGGGTCCCGACCCACAGGTTGAGAACCACTGGTATATGAGATTGTCTCATCCAGTGAGCTCCATCGCTAAATAGGGATTTGAAGCTGGGTTTCCTTAGTCTGAAACTCTTAACCAATTTGTCTTGTATAAACAACCATGTGTATCTTTAATGATTCCGTAACTTACTCGAAGAATTCAGGCTGAAGAGTGAGGCATAAAACTATGAAAATTATCTGAGTAGATCTTCAGTTATTTGAAGACCCTTCTGTCTTCAGTTCGCGTCATAGTGCAAATTGCAGGAAAGAGATTTTGAATAAACATAGGAAAAATTCCTTCTAGTGGCAGTTGCTGATTAATGGTGGAACTGCCAGACTGTATTCAGTAGTGGTGAGTCATCTTGACTGGAAATACTTAAGCAGGGATGCCTTAATTACAAGGTTCCTAAACCAAAAGGAGAAATAAGAGGGATGAGGTGACCCATTTTTTCCCAACTCTACAGATTCATTGTAAATGGCTGCTTTCCAGCATTTCCCATTATTGCAACAAGGGTGTTTGCTTAGGTAAGAGTTAATTTGAAACTCAGTCCTGGAAAAGTGCTTATAGCTCTTACTCCTGCAGCCAAATCCTTACTCCTGTCCAGAAAACATTGATTTCCTATCATTCAGAATGTGAAAATCAACAGTCCTCAGCAAAAGAGAGGAAAGATGGCAGAGGAGGGTGAAAAGTTGATAAAACAAAGGTTGTAGTTTCACAGCTTAGCTTGGAAGTTCCAGAGCAGTAGATGACTTCTTTTTTGTATTTTGTTTGTCTTCTGTTCTGTACGCTCTAAAAACAGTTTGCAGCAAAATTCCAAGAAGTAAAAGAAGCTGCTCGCTTGGCCAGAGAGAAATCACAGGATAAGACTGAACTAACCAGCCCCGCTCTCAGTTTGACTTCCCACCAAGTAAGTCTGGAGGGACTAAGTCCCCATATCCACCGGTCCTTAGTGGGATGGCTGAATTCACTGTAAATTAAACATGATTCAGGTCAACCTCTCTGTCAATAACAGCAAATCTTTTTTTGTAGTCGGGGGCCCATGGATTTTTTTAAAAAATGGAATGAAATGAAAAAGCCCTGGGGCTCACAATTTGTTTTCGTTTTTATTTTTGTAAAGAAATTGCACAGTGCAAAATTAGCATCTTGAAGCTGAACTTAGTAGGATTTTGCAGGACTCTCAGAGGCTGCGCAAAAAAAAAAAAAACACCAGGGGAACTGCATTCAGCCAGTGTTTACCCATCCATTTTTAACTGGCAATGACTCTCCAGGATCCAAAACTGATCCTCTCACTGATCCTCGCCAGAGACCCTTTTAATTGGAGTTACTGGGGACTGAACTGGAAACTTCTGTTGACAAGAAAGGTCCTTTACCATTGAGATAAGCTCCTTTGATCCTTTGAGATAAGCTCCTTTGAATAGCAGATGTAAAGCTAAGTGTGCGGATGCAACAACAAAAAAGTCAAGAGACAAGATAACAGGGCCAGGCTTTGCAACAGTAAGGCAGCTAAGGAACTATAGGTGGCTCTGAGGACCAGCGATATAATGTTTTGGGCTGCTAGACAAGAAATGGGCTTTCTGAATTTGATTTCAACGTTAGCTTATTGCTGTTTTTATTCCAGGGAATCCCACTATTTTTAAGTGGATAAATGGTAGGACTAGGGGGGATTACACTCCATTGTTTTTTCTCTTTCACTCTGCAGATTCCATAACTTGGTTACTGTTCTAGCTTAGTTTTGGATCCCTACAACGCACCGTATCATAAACAAGCAGACTTTCACAGTATGCCAACCCACAAAACAAATGAATCAGATTTGCTCAGTACGTTGCATGAATGCAACCAGTAGGCTTAATTGACTTGGTTGAGTGTATCAGTAGAGAGCTTCCACAGCTTGGACTGCCTATTTAGGATATGATTTTGAGTGATTTACACGTGTCCACAAATTATGCCTTTGATCTCCCCTGCCTCCTTGTTGCTTAGAAGAGAAGAAAGTAGACACCAGGGATTTTTGCTTGGAGGACAATCTCCTTCACAACACCACCAAGGGATGGCTGTTTTCCTCTGATCTCCTGGGTAACAGGGGTAGATGGATCTGGAGGATGAAAGACATGTGTTCCCTAGGCTAGTCACAGATGGATTAGTAGTACATGAGGAGGAGGATGTCTGAACAGTCCATTGGCCTGGAGGAGAGGAGAATGAGAGGAAACTTAACTAACCCTGGAAGAGAGCAGAGAGAGGAAGTTAATAGAATCATTGTCATTACTACATAGGATTTCTGAAACCAGACCTTTTGGCTATATAAGTGTTATTTGACCATTTTAACAGAATAATTTTAGTACAAGCTTGAGTATCCAGAAGCAAAGAATGTCGGAGGAATAGCATTCTCTTAAAAATTAAGAGAAAAACAAGAATGCTATTCTAAGTTTGGATATGAGAAAGAGAGGGATGACATTCTAGAGTGAATGTTTTAGATTCCCTGGATGGTGAACAGGTTCAGAAGTTCTAGTGCAGCACTGAGATTAACCATTTGGAGATCTATTGATTAGATTTCTTTGCTGACCATCTCGCCACAAGGCAACTCTGAGTGGCTTACCACAGTAAGAGCAATAAAACCATAGACCCATTTATCTAACTGCCATAAAAATACAGATTACAAATTATGGCTGAAAGATGGGGAGGGAAGGGAGAGTAGGATTGGGGGGGGGGGGAATCTGCTATTGATCCATCAAACAACCTCCAAGTGTGATACTCTTCCATTGGGGTCCCAAACCAGCTGGCAGAGCCAGGTATTCTGGCTCTTGTAGAAGGTCAGGAGGGTGGGAACTGATCTCACTTGGGGTGGGGTGGGTGGGGACAAGTTGTTCCAAAGGGCAGGAGCCATGGCAGAGAAGGCTCTTCTCTTGGACCCTGCCAGCCGGAATTCCCTGATGGCCTAGAGCAGGGATACCCAACCCCCAGTCCATGGACCGGCATGCCAGCAACCAGGCCACACAAATAAGTGAAGCCGCATCCAAGGGATGCAGGCAGCATGCAAAACCATGTCTCCTCCAGTCCACGGAAAACCTCTTTCTATGGAACCGGTCCCTGGTACACTAAAGGTTGGGGGCCGCTAGCCTACAGCGTGCCTTCTCTGCCAGCATGGATAGGGTGGGCCAATCCCATTGGGATGAGTCGAGATGCTTTTTTTGTATATGCATGTGGGTGTGGCGGGAAGATAGAATAATTTCTTAACAAGCTGCCTTGAAGATAGCAAAGGCAACCCCTCCCTTCACATGTTTAATTGTCATGTTCCTTTGCTTGACAGATTCTAGCCAGCCCCATCATTAGTTCCAATGGTCCTGGAGATGACAAGCTGTTCCGGAGCCAGAGTGCTGACATGGAGATGACAACAGAAAGAGAGCGCATTAAAAAAATGCTCTCTGAAGGGTGAGCAACCAGTTAGAGAGTGATTCACATATTCTGCATTTCATTTTACACCGAGTGGTTTAACAAAAGCAAGTGGAATTATCAAGAAGATGCTGAGATACTATTTCCTGTTTTATTTTTTTAAATGTCAGTGGATTTGTTACTTTTCAGGATTATCTGTTGCTTTGGATTCAACCCAGTGGTGGATTTCAAATTTTTTTACTACCGGTTCTGTGGGCATAGCTTGGTGGGCGTGGCAGGGGAAGGATACTGTAAAATCTCCATTCCATCTTCAATACAGGGGAAGGATACTGCAAAATCCCCATTTCCTCCCGATCAGCTGGGACTCGGGAGGCAGAGAATAGATGGGGGCAGGGCCAGTCAGAATTTTACTACCGGTTCTCCAAACTACTCAAAATTTCTGTTACCGGTTCTCCAGAACTGGTCAGAACCTGCTGAAACCCACCTCTGATTCAACCCCCAAAATGTCACCCCTTTAACTTAAACCAGGTCAGAAAACAGATACCACAAAAAATACAGGAATTCTGCTTTATTGATATAATAGGCTATAACAGAGAGTATAGAAAACCTGACAGTGTTTCTCTTTCCCTTCCTTGTACACTAAAGGGAATTGACACAGAGCAATCTGGAATTTCTTTCCTACTCTTTCCTGTCTTTTCAAACTAAGCTTAAATTTTGCTAATGGCTGTCACATATCTTCTTCATGGCTGTCTCCACACTTCTACACACTGTGCTTTGGAATACACAGACTGAGAAAATAGCATGTATCTGCGAGTCTTAAAAACAGTCACATTTTTTCCTGTGGCACACATGGCAGCTTCAAAGGACAGCTGTGTGATCCCAGGAACAGATCGAACAGCTTTTAAAGCATTGCACACCAGAACACTTCCTTCCCTTAAGTATACTATTTCTCTCTCTCACGCACACAAAACTTCGTCCTTTACTAATGGATGAAATGCTCTTTTTATAGAGTGCCCCATTCAGCTCGTGATGAAGAGATTTCCTGCTTTGCTCCTTTAGTATTCACTCTGCTAATGCATTTTGCTCCTGCTAAATTCAGATCCCTAGGAAAATGTCTAAAATTAAATGCTAAATTGGAGTATGTGCTGATTACTGTACCACTCATTTCCTTCCATTCATTGGCATAATTCTCTCTATTATCAGGGTATATGTGTGTATTAATAAATACCTGCAAAAAAAACCCACTAATGTGATTGCAGAGAAACAGCTTTTTTGTAGTTTGTATCAATATTGTGCATTTTGCATACGCAGATACAACTTTATACATAGCCACAACAATATTGTCTTTTGCAGTGTTTATTTATTTATTATTTAAATTGTATTATTTGCAAAATGAACATTGCTAACAGAGAAAGCATAGCTTCCTCACAAAACTTTTCAGTTTCTTACTAATTTCATGTCGTGTGGTATTGCTGCTATTATTTTTATTTTGTTACAAGCCATTCTAGGAACTTTTAATTCACTGATGCAGTCTGAGAAACCTTGAATGTAGCCTCCAGAGATCTCTAACATTTGTTATCAAGCTGTAATTTTTCATGCAAGTGAGCAAGAACGTTTTGAAATAAGTTACTGCAGCATAGACGAAACTGTGTCCAATATGAATTGCGTGTGCATTCACTTAAGTCAAATTTAACTTTTGTTTGGGCCTCCTGCACTACTTTTTCAAGAGTTGCTATAATTACACCAAGTCCAGGATCGAAGGCAATCGTTAGTCCCAATGAAATTGTGCCACCTTTGCTTATGTTGAAAAGCTCCCATAAAAATGTACCAAAGGAAACAAAAATTACTCTAGATCAGGGGTGTCAAACGCAAGGCCTGTGGGCTGGATGTGACTCGCGATGTGGTCGGATCTGGCCCGCAGGGTGATCCTGGTCTACCCAGTGCGAAGAGGAAAGATCAGACCAGCGTGGCTTTGGCCCAGTCTACCCAATGCTGTTGTGGCCCGCCAGCGGCCTGCGCGGATCATGGTTGATCCCGACGAGGAGGAGGCTGGTGTGGCGTTGTGCCAGCAGCCGGCACAGCCGGCGCTCACGTCGGACAGCGAGGAGGCTGAAGAGGATGTGGTGCCAGAGGCAGAGACTCAGCCAGGACTGTCAGAACCTCCAGAGGCTCCTTCAAGTGGAGAGAGCGAAGTGGAGGAGCCTCTTCTCAATGCTCGAGCACGCAGGGCTGCCAAAAGGCAGGAGTGGCTACTCAGGAGGAGGAGGTCTCCTCAAGAGTAAGGCTTGAGGATAATTGGCCACTCCCTTAGCCTATTTAAGTCGCACGCAGTTAGTAATTTCTTGCTAGAAACAACTTGTAATTATCATCAGAGCATTTTTGGAAAAATCATATCTTGTTTTCTGGGCTGGTTGCCAACCTTTGCCAGACTTTGATTTATTCTTGCTACTTAATAAATTTGATAAGGACCGTTGGTGTGTGTCAATATCCTTGAGAATCCAGAGCTGGGCAGAACAAATGCGAAGAGGAAACATGCCAGCAGTTTGGGGAGTGGTGTCAAGTTGGCCACGCCCACCCAGTTGGCCGCGCCCACCCAATCGGCCACACACACACACACGCACACCCCCGAGATCAACCACAGCCCTGATGTGGCCCTCAATGAAATAGAATTTGACACCCCTGCTCTAGATTCATTGCTTCTGCTTTGAAAATATGAGCGAATCCTTTTAGAATCCTCCAAATCGAGGAACAAATTCACTTGGAGGAAACTTTAATGCAGCTTGGAATGCAGGAGAAAGTATCGTGGCAGTCAGTGAGCTGCTGAGCCGTTTCTGGGTTCTACATGTGACATAACTGGTGGGACCTCTAGAATCATGGTAATTCAGACAAATTAGCTATAGTATCAGGGTGCTCTCCTCCTGTTTCTTTTTTCTTTCTTTTTGCAGTTATATTCTCCCCATAGGCTCTGTAGTTCCACTCCGTTATCAAAATCCTGGGAAGGAAAGTAGGGCGTTAGATTGGGTTTATTTGTTCATCAGGTTTTTCCAAAAACATGTCCCCCCCGCCCCCGATTGAATCAAGACTTTTTGTGATGCAATTTATTAATTTCCTTACTCAGAGCTCAGGTATAGATCCCCACCCTGTTTTTTTCTCTATCCCGATATGTCACAACAAGGGAATTACCTGGTTCTTTTTCTTTTTTTCCTTTTAACACAGAACATAGTGTGCTTAACAAGGGAGGGCCTATTGCATGTATTTAGAAGTACCAACACCAATAATTTGAAAACTGGCTATGGTGAACTTGTTTCCACGCAACTCGGCCACACGGTTAATTTTTGCTGTGTGGCGGCAGCTGATGCCTTTAAACACTAAAGGTAAATATTAGTTTAAAATAAAAAAACTAGCTTCCCTCTGGGGAACAGTGTGTCTTCAGAGTTGCTCTACTGCAGTTCCCCAGAGTTTTTTCTTAGTAGAAGGCAAGATTTTATGCTGTGTTAAATTGATAATACTTGTATTTTAATATTGTTTTTATTTGGCTTCTAGACATGTGGGTGACAACCATATTGATCGAGTGAAACTTGAAAGCAATATGAGAAACAGCAGTTAATTCAAATACAATTGCTTAATTGCTCATTGGGTATGGGTATTTTTAGAGTCTGTTTATCGTGCTGCCTTTGAAGTCCTTTTACTTTGAAATTCAGGATAACCATCTCCAAATATACCTGCCCTCAAAGCCCTTGTTAGAAATCCTCCACCCACTTTGCTATCCTTCATTTTTTTAAAAATTTTGTTTGTTGTTTGTTTGTTTATTTATTTATTTATTTAATTAATTAATTAATTAATTAATTAATATACCGCCCTACTCCTGAAGGACTCAGGGCGGTGAACAGCCAAAACAGTAAAAATACATAGATACAAAATTTAAAAACAAGGTAAAATTGAATTAAACAAATTTGGCCCAAACGTATTAAAACCCCAATCATTTAAAAACCAATTAAAATTTACATAATTAAAAAGAGAGAAAAGATTAGGCCAGGCCCGCCTGATGGGATAAAAAGGTCTTAAGAGCGTGGCGGAAGGTGCACAGATCCGGGATCCTCCGTATCTCCGGGGGGAGCTCGTTCCAGATAGTAGGTGCCCCCACAGAGAAGGCTCTCCCCCTAGGGGCCGCCAGTTGACATTGTTTGGCCGACGGCACCCGGAGGAGTCCCTCTCTATGAGAGCGTACCGGCCGGTGGGAGGCTATTGGTGGTAGTAGGCGGTATTTAAAGATACAAACAGAACAAAGCAAGTAATAACAAGACATACAAAACATGTAAACAAAAAGAGAAGTCAGGTATAATCTTATCAAAGTTTTCACAACTGTAGTCTGTTATATGATTCTCATTTGCATATTTGACTCCTCCCTAATTGGGTCTTTTACATTTTGTCTAAACTTTTTAAAGTCACTATTGGCCTACATTAAGTAATTTGTATTTCTATATCTATCTTGGGTTCCACTGGCTACCTCCTAGTCCTGTTTTTTCCTTTTCCTATCTTGCAACCACTTATCCCATACTAAATAATATTCATGTTCCTCTTTATCTTGGAGTTCCTTTGTGAGTCTGTCCATTTCTGCACATTCCATGATTTTACTAATTACTCTCTCTTCACTTGGTATGTCATTACTCTTCCAATTTTGTGCAAAAATTATACGTGCTGCTGTTGTTATGTGGATTATTAAATATTTTATATAAATATTATATAAATATTAATATATTTATATATTATATTTATAATATAGAAATATTATTTTTATTAATCATAGATTAACGGAAAGTATGCCATCCGCTGGAAGAAAGATAGAAAGGTACAGCATAAGTGAAATACTTAGAATGCTTTGTATTTTTCCTGTCCCTGTGTTTCCTAGGTCTGTTTGTGAAGTCCAGTGGGAAGCCGAATTTTTCAGTCTGCAAGACAATAACAACAAATTGGTGGCCGCCTTGCATGAAGCTAATGCCAATGTGGAACAATGGAAGCAGCAGCTGGCAGCATATCAGGAGGAGACGGAAGCACTGCGCCAACGAGTGAGTGGAGGTCCAAGAGATTCACTCAAGGTTCTCCATTGGAGGAGGGATAGGGAAGTAAGGCATCCTCATCCCACAGGGCCTCTCATCCTGGCTGGTGGAAGCCCTCTCTCCCCCACCATATTCCTTTGAGGCCCATACAGGTAGTCCTTGACTTGCAACAGTTCATTTAGTGACCATTTGAAGTTACAGCAGCACCGAAAAAAGTGACTTATGACCATTTTTCAGATTTACAACCATTACAGCATCCCCGTGATTGCATGCTTAAAATTCAGACGCTTGGCAACTGACTCATATTTATGACAATTGCAGTGTATCACCTCTTGCAACCTTATGACAAGCAAAATCAATGGGGAAGCCAGATTCACTTAACAACCGTGGGACTAACTTAACAAGTGGCCTTTATCTTAACATTCACACGTACAAAATAAAACGTCCAAACTCTCAAATTTTATTTTCACTTATAAAAAGGGAAGTATTGACATTTGAAATAACTAAATAAAATAGATTAAACTCCTGAAACTATTTTGTTTCTTATAAGATTTTTTTTTTTAAATTAGGATACTTGTAACAAAATTGCATTTTTTCTTTTTCCCACGTTTTTGTTTTTATTGGTGGCATAAAATAGCTAGAAAAACCTATTTGCTGAAAGATTTTTTTTAACAAAAGCATTGAATGAGGTGCATATTTGAGTTCTTAGAATTTCAGCTCTCACTCATTATTGTGTGTAAAAAACAGAATTTTCCATCTGTTGTACATTTTCCATGGTGAAAATAAACTAGATTTAATTCAGGTAGTCCTTGACTTACAATCTCAGTGGAGCCCAAACAAATTGTCTTGCTAAGTGAGACATTTGTTAAGGGAGCTTTGCCCCATTTTACGACCATGTTTATCCCAATTGTTAAGTGAATCACTGTAATCGTTAAGTTAGTAACACGGTTATTAAGTGAATCTGACTACCCCATTCAACTTTGCTTGTTAGAAGGTCGCAAAAGGGGATCACATGACCCTGGGACACAACTGTAACTGTCATAAATATGAGTAATTTGCCAAGTGTCTGAATTTTGATCATGTGACCATGGGGATGCTGAATCAGTCATAAGTGTGAAAAGCAGTCATAAATCACTTTTTTCAGTGTCGTCGTAACATTGAATGATCACTGAATGAACTGTTGTAAGTTGAGGCTACCTGTGTTGAAATGTTGGGAGGGAAGTCGTTCTCTAATAAATACAATCAGTTTAGCTTCTCTGTGCGGTATGCGTGTTGCTGTCTGGATTTGGGATTGCACACCAAATTCTGATGGAGCCTTGGTTTCCTGTAAGGCTTGGTGAAGAAAGGGTACCACGGGGAAGCACTTCTGAGGTTGCACATATTATTTTCCCCAAATCCCTGCTTTGTTCCGCTTAATTGTAGCCGGCTAGTGCTGAGCACTGGCAAACTGAGACTTTTTCCTACTTATTGAGTAAACATTGCTGCTAAAGTCTGTGACAAGTTAGTTTTAAGAAAGGCGGCTCAGAGCCCACGGTGACCTTCTTTTAACCTTCATTCACAATTTTTATCTACTGCAGCAGCTTTGCTACACTTGAGAATCTGTGTGTGACGAAATAGATTTTATCTGTAGATCAGTCCGGCCTCGCTTAGTGTATTTTGCCATTCAGGCTGATTTGGCAATGAACGAAGCCATCATTTGCATCATGTGCCGTTTCCAACTCCTCCTCCTCCTCCTCCAAACGTGTCTTCCTAAAATTTGGGATTCCAAATTACATGGACATTCAGTAATTCCAAAACAGAACTGATAAGACTTCACTGTTTCCGTTTTTTTAAAAGTGTCTGAATTCTTGAATAGAGTGCCACACATGTATCATTCATTATTTCTTTCTGATCTTCCCATTCATTTTCATTTTTCATCTTCCTTTGCTTTACTAATAACTTAGGCTTCTATGCCGCTTCACAGGGCTTTCCAGCCCAGTCTAAGCAGTTTACAGAGTCAGCATATCGTCCCCCAACAATGTCTTTGCCTTCAGTGAGAGAAGAACTCTTGTTGTAATATTTTTGTGGGCATTTTACTGGTATGCAAGGGTGCATTTATGCATGAATAAAATATCACCTGGATTAAGTTGTAGATTCAGTCGTATTGTATGTGCCCACTTTCCCCAAAGGAGGCAAGTTGCACGGACAATGTTTATGTTGTCTTGGGACAAATGTTTTTCTTTTTGGGGAAAAGAGCAGTGAAGATTTCTGTAAAGTTTGTGTTTACAAATGTGAGTGTTTGCTTGCTTTTGTGCCTTAAAGTCAGCATTGACTCCTGCAGTTGTTAAGTCCCTGCAATTTTCTTGGCAACATTTTCAGAAATAGCTTCCCCTTCTCCTTCTTAGATCTCAGAGGGAGAGAGTGTCTCAAAATTACAAACAAAATTTGTTTGTACTACAAGAGTACAAACTGTAGTACAGTGGACTAAAGCACTGTTATTAACATCAGCTGCCTGCAATTACTGCAAGTTCAAATCTCACCAGGCTCAAGGCTGACTCAGCCTTCCATCCTTTCTAAGGTAGATAAAATGAGGACTCAGATTGTGGGGGCAATAAGCTGACTTTGTATAAATATACAAAAGTATGAAGGCTATTGCTTAACGCATTGTAAGCCGCCCTGAGTCTCCAGAGAAGGGAGGCATATAAATTAAAAAAAAGCAAGCAAAAAAAAGCAGAGCAAAGCAAAATTACCTAACTGGCTTTGTAGCTAAGGCAGGATTAGAAATCATGCTCTCCTGCTTTCTAGCCTGATACTTTAAACACTACATCAAACTGGCCTTCTTCTATAAGATGAGCATAGGAAAAAATAATGCTTAATGGATCAACAGTCTCCACAAAGGTAGCCCCACCTTCACTGCACTTTTGGGTGCTTTCCAGCACTCAAATTAATTTCACTTTGATTCATCTTCTTCCTAATAATCCAGTATTCTGAAGGTGTATTCTAATTGCTAGGCCTTACCAGTGAGTTCTTTGACAGGGGTCTAAGACAATTGGCACTGGCCACATTTTCGTGCCCACTTCTCCACAGCCCCCTCCCATTACAGCCAATTTACTACCGGCGTTTATGCTTGGTAGGTCCAGCGCCAGCACTCTTTCCCCAGCAATGGTCAGCCAGTGTTCCTGCCTTGCTCTATTCACCTGGGCAATTCACTGAAGGTCAATTATCCCTGGGTGTTTGGTTGTGGGGGACGCTTAAACAAGCCTCCCAGTGGCTGGGTGGTGTGGGCGGTGGCCTCAGGGTTGGGACAGGAAGTGTGAGATGTGTGTGGCGCCTCCAGTCAAGAACCCTTTGAAGCGGCAAAGAGGCAGGAAGCGGGATGGCTCCCTCTCATCTAGCCCAACTCTCTGGTGCTCCTTGGTCTTCGCGGGACAGGGAGTGGTAGGTCCTCTCCATCCCTGCTGGAAGCAGGCCGCTGGAAGGGGCAACGCACACCTGGCACGGCGCCCCCAGCAGCAGCTCAGCCAGTGGTTGCTCCCGCCACAGCCAGGCTGCATAAGGAAGCAAGACAGATGGAATGTCTAGAACCGTGATGGCGAACCTATGGCATGCGTGCCACAGGTGGCACGCGGAGCCATATCAGTGGGCATGCGAGCATTGCCCTAGCTCAGCTGCAGCGCACATGAGCGCACAGGCCAACTGATTCTCGGGCCTTCCGGGCACACCGGAAGTTGGCAAACGGGCCGTTTCCGGCCTCCAGAGGGCCTTCAGGGGGGTGGGGAACGCCGTTTTCACTCCTAGAAAGCCTCTGGAGCCTGGGGAGGGCGAAAAACAGGCCCACTGGGCCATCACGTGTCAAAAACGGGAGCATGGGGGGGGTCGCACGTGCATGCGCGGGATGGTGGAGCGCATTGAATTGTGGGTGTAGGCATGCACACGCGCGTCCCCCCGCGCGACCCCCACTTTTGGTATGCGACAGCAAAAAGGTTAGCCATCACTGGTCTAGAATATTTACATGTTTTCAAAACATGACTGACAGAGGTCAGTTAGCTAAGCCCCCTTTGGGCCAAATTTAATCTTGGATTCGTTTGACTTTTTGTTGCTTTCACAACACTCTATCCCTGTTCCTTCACTAACCAAGTTAAAACTATCATGGGAGTTGAGCCTCCGAGTGGGAAAGATCACTCCATTACTCAACAATTTCCCAACAGAAAAGCATAGTTCTCAAGCCCGACCTAACCACGGCTTTCTCCAACTTGGTGACTCACAGATGCGTTGCGTCTACCACTCAGAGAAATTCTAGCTAACGTACATTTTTAAAAACAAGATTGTCAAGGTATGGAATGCTGAACTCAAATCTTTTAAGATCTGATTTAGTAAGATTGTTCTTACTGCCTGAAACTTATATTTACATCCATCAGAATGGGAATATCTTGTCTTCTAAATTTGTAATTCTACATTTATATCAGGAAGACATCAGGGATTTTTCTTTTCTCCATTATTTTTACTAGTGCATCTTTTAAATCTGTATCAAGTTCTGCACCCCAATTCACTGAGCCCGTTCCCAAAATTAATCTTCCTTCTATGGGGCTTCTGTTTTCACTGCTGTTTGCATAGCCGTACCTGAAACAGGAGGAAGCCCGGCTACCTTTGATAATTTTGCAAGGGTGTAAGCAATCACCCTTCCTTGGGTCTTGCAGATTTGAGTTAGCAGTATATAACAGCTGGGCCTCTGATTTTGTTGAGCTCCTTCAGGCATAGTGTGTAGGCTTTTTGCATGAAAGAATGGAAAGAAAAGGGAGAAAGAGTTATATAAGGTCACTTACTTTACTTAAATAAAAAGCATCAGACTAGCATTTGCTTTCTTATCTTAAGATTTTGTGTATAGTGGATTTAGATATTAGATAGAAGAATAGACTTGGAAGGGACCTTGGAGATCATCTAATCCAACCCCCTGCTCAAGCAGGAGACCTAGACAAATGGTTTATTTATTTATTTATATATTTGGTCAAATTTATATGCCGCCCTTCTCCCGAAGGACTCGGGGCGGCTCACAAAGGATTAAAACCGTAGAACAGTAAAAATAAATTAATTTAGATTAATTAAAAAAAACAACAATTAAAACCCATATTAAAACCAAAACTAAAAACAGGTCAGGCGATTTGTTTAAAAAGCCACATCTTTAGGTCCCTGCGGAAGGAGCGGAGGTCGGGAGCCGTGCAGAGCCCGGTGGGTAAACCATTCCAGAAGGTTGGCGCGCTCACAGAGAACGCCCTCATCCTGGGCGCCATCAGCCGACATTGCCTGGCCGTCGGCACCCAGAGGAGGGCTGCCCTATGCGAGCGCGCTGGTCGGTGAGAGGCTGGCAGTAGGTGCTCCTGTAAGTACCCCGGGCCCGTGCCATGCCATGAACCATGAAATGGTTGTCCAATCTCTTCTTGAAAACCTCCAGTGTCGGATCACCCAAAACTTCTGGAGGCAAGCAGTTCCACTGGTTAATTGTTCTAACTGTCAGGAAATTTCTCCTAGGTTGGATCTCGCCTTGATTCTTTCTAGGAACCAGGAGGATCAGCGGCCTTAGAAGCTATCAGGAATTGCATATAGAGAATTGCAATACTGATTTTGATTTTATGTATAGGAAAACACAAATTTCGGGTATAGGACAAGCCTGTGGAATCAGAATGTTTCTCGCCATTAGCAATGTTAAGAAAGGCACACTTCAACTCCCAGAATTCCCCAGCCAGCATGCTTTAAGATGGGTGGACTGCCTTCCATCTTACGAACTGCTTCATTCTTCCAGTAACATGCCCATCCACAAGTAGCAGTCAGTGACTTTCTATCTAAGTGGCAGGTATTTCCATGTTCTAAAGCAAACCCTTTTTGTCCTAGAAGCTGGAAATGCTGAGAGCATTGAATTTTAGCATGCAAAGCGGATGCCTTACCTTCAGTGAATGCCCTTCTTTTAGCGGCTACGAAGTGTCGGGTTTGATATATAAGAGCAATTCTGTGAATGAATAGAGAGGTTTCTGGCTTTAAAAAAGCTGATAAAGCATATGTTTGCATTTGAGTTTGTTTGTTTGTGTGTGTGTGTATCAGAGAGATTGAGAAGAAATAGCGGTGATTGCACTTGAAAGAAATGAAAGGGTACAGAAAAGGCGAAGCACATGTCAGGAGAATAGGCTAAATTTTGGGCAGAAATAATTGTACATTTCCCAGTAAGCTTCCTATCTGAATTGTTGGATGCATCATTCCTGCTCACCAAATTGTTTCTTCAATGGTGCGGAATATGGGAGGAATCATTGGGTCTGCTATTTTCCTTCTGTTTTCTGCTGCTGTTAGGTACATAGAAGCTGAATAACTAAGGGCTATTCTCTTTGGGACTGTCCGTGCTCATTACACAGAGTATTGTTCCAGTAGTTCTGGAAAGTCCCTGCCTTTTGATAGGTACACATACGGCATGTAGAGATACATGAATTATATATTATGTACATTTCATGCTTTCCTCTTTTCCTCTTTTTTGCCCTTTGGATGTTTGCTGATTTTAATAAATAAGCATCAAGCACAGTGGTGAAATCCAATTTTTTTTGCAACCGGTTTTGTGGGTGTGGCTTGGTGGGTGTGGTGTGGCTTGGTGGGCGTGGCTTGGTGAGTGTGGCAGGGGAAGGATACTGCAAAATCCCCATTCCCTCCCCACTCCTGGGGGAAAGATATTGCAAAATCTCCATTCCCACCCCACTCTGGGGCCAGCCAGAGGTGATATTTGCTGGTTCTCCAAACGGCTCCAAATTTCTGCTACCAGTTCTCCAGAACCTGTTGGATTTCACCCCTGATGAAGCATCATATTTTGCTAGCTATGCCACATGTATGCTTACTCTGGTCTGGATATAGGGATTGACTGGGAGGGCTCTGGGTGCAAATTAAAGGGCCTTATCCACAGTAATTTTTCAACAAGGAGCCTGGATAGCTCTGCAGACAAGGCACTGTAATTTAACACCAGCTGTCTGCAATTAAAAAGTAAGTTTGAATCTCGCCAGGCTCAAGGTTGACTCAGCCTTCCATCCTTTCTAAGGTAGGTAAATTGAGGACTCAGTTTGTGGGGGCAATAAACTGACTTTGTATAAATATACAAAAGTATGAAGGCTATTGCTTAGCGCACTGTAAGCCGCCCTGAGTCTCCGGAGAAGGGCGGCATATAAATCAAATTAAAAAAAAAAACAAACCCATGCATTATATTACGTTAGAAAAGGGCTGTATGGGTTTGACTGGGCTTAAGGTTGTAGCATTCAGGGAAAAGGACTGAGTAATCAGTAGCTTGAGAAAGAATCTTATCAGTCACTTTGCTAACTATCTAAAATTTCTAAGAGATAGAAAACTCCAGAAATTTTACAGTCCTCCTATTCAAAACAAACATTCTATTACAGTAACTCAGATATGGAAAGTGGATGGATTGTCACAGTAGAGCAAAATAAGCAAATAAAAGATTATGAAGATTGAGGCCCTTTCCTCCACTTAAACAGAGCATTGGACATAGATGAGGGTATTACCACTTAGTATCTATATCTTGAACTATTTCAGGTTTGTGGCTAGAAGACAATTCATTTTCTGCTCTTTTTGTCATAAAGATTGTTCCCAGTTCATCACAAATCCATGTGTTATTCAGACTCAAGCTGATGGTCATGATTATTTGATAGCCCATCACTTTTCAACAATTCTGCTGACACCATTCTAAGTAATCACCTCCGTTCTCCTTCTCTCCAATTTCCCATAGGTGGCAGAGCTGGAAGCCCAGAGAGAACACAATTCCTCAAGCGATGTCAGGAAAGAGACCTGCCCAGCTTTAGAAGACCTGGAACAGTTGGTGAAGGCCAAAGATGAGGTCAGTAGCTGCATCCCAGGTCTCTGAGCTGCCAATCTCGAGCAGAGCTTATAAATTCAGAAGCCCACAATTAAGAACAAGAAGAGAGAATCTGTGGGTGGTTTTACATAAGTAATTCTCTGATAAAGGAGAATATTTGTAGCTCAGGGTTGACATGAGAGGGTCCTTGGTGCTCTCTGATCTTGCTTGTTTTCTTGCAAACTAGGTACCATCATCAGTGCTAGTAAAAAGCTTATAGCAATAGCACTTAGACTTATATACCGCTTCACAGTTCTTTACAGCCCTCTCTCTAATACAGCCTATTACCCCCAACAATCTGGGTCCTCATTTTACCGACCGTGGAAGAATGGAAGGCCGAGTCAACCTTGAGCCGGTCAGGATCGAACTGCCAAACTGCAGGTAGCTGGCAGTCGGCAGAAATAGTCCTGCAGTCCTGCATTCTAACCACTGCACCACCACAGTTCGAGTACTTCTGTGTATACTAATAAAGGGGAATATTTGTAGCTGAGGGTTGACGTGAGGGGTCTTTGCTTCTCTCTGGCCTTGCTTGTTTTTCTTGCAGACATTTCATTACCTGGTTAGATCATATCATCTGTGCTATCATCACTGGCACTGATGATGTTACCTACCGTATTTTTCGGAGTATAAGACGCACCGGACTATAAAATGCACCTACCTTTTTTGGTGAGGAAAACAAGAAAAAGAAATCTGCCTCTGCCTCCCTGCAATTTTGCCTCCTTGCAGCAAACAGCAAATAGCCTGCTTTACTTTCATTTTCGCTTTCAGCATAGCTTGATTAGCACAAGAAAAGAAAAATCTGCTCCCAGCAATTTACCTCCTTGCAGCAAGCAGCAGAGGCCCCCACAAAACAGCTGAGACTCAGGAGGCTGAGACTAATTAGGCTGTGCTGAAGCTGAAATGGGCTGTTTCTTCTTGCTGCTTGCTGCGAGAAGGTAACTGCTGGGAGGCAGAGACCAAAGGGTGGGGGCCAGCGGGTGGGCGGGGTTACATTCGGTGTATAAGACGCACCTAAATTTTCACCCCCCTTTTAAGGGGAAAAAAAGGTGCGTCTTATACTCTGAAAAATACGGTAGTTAGGGTAATGAAAGGTCTTCAAGAAAAACAAGCAAGCTCAGAGAGCACCAAGGACCCCTCAATTCTCTGCATCTCATTCTGCAAGATTAGATTAGTAGTAACACTCTATTTGCAGATTGAAAAAAAAGTTACTTGGGCTGTGCTGTGTTTGCCAGTCTGTTTCAGGGTTAAATTCAAAAGTGCTGGTAATAACTTACAAAGGTATACAGGTGCGTTATTTGTGGGTCTGCCTCTGTACGTCTACCCATCCCATCAGGTCCACCGGAAAGGGCGTGCTGTGGATCCCATTGGTTAAACAGGGTCATCTGACGGGATGCAGGAGGGAGTGACTTTTCTGCCACAGCACCTGCCCTTTAGAACATGATCCCCACCCCATCCCGTCCCCCCCGGGAGGTTAGATTGGACTCACGCCTGCTTGCCCTTTGAAAGGTTCTAAAAACATGATTTTGTCAACCAACCTGGGGATTGGTTAGAACAAGTTATGTCGGCTGGCGACACCCAGGGGGAGGGCCTTCTCTGTGGGAGCCCCAGCCCTGTGGAATGAACTGCCCCCGGAAATACGTAAGATCTCCGACCTCCGGGTGTTCCGCTGCGCACTGAAGACCCTGTTGTTCCGCCAGGCAGGGCTGTCAATATAATAATTTTAAATTGGGGTATTTTAATTTTTGGGGTTTTAAATCGGCCAAATCTATTTAATTATTTTAATTTTTAATTATTGTTGTGTCTTGTGTTTTTAAATTGGCTGTACACCGCCCTGCGTCCTTCGGGAGAAGGGCGGTATAGAAATAAAATTATTATTATTATTATTATTATCTGACAGTTTGGAGTCTGCAAGAGGGTTAAACGGATTGATGCACGACTTGCCTGCTTTTTATGCTTTTCGATTTTAATTTTGCTTTTAATTAGCTGTTTTTTATTATTTGGCTTTCGGGATTACAGGTAGTCGTCGTCTTACTTACCACAGTTTATTTAAGTGACCGTTCAAAGTTCCAACGGCACTGGGAAAAGGGACTTAACGGCCATTTTTTCACAGTTATGATTTTCCCCGCGTCCCCATGGTCATGTGATCAGAATTCAACCGCTTGGCAACTGGTTCATATTTATGAGCGCTGCTGGGTCAAAGATCATGTGATCTCCTTTTGTGACCTTCTGACAAGCAGTCAATGAGGAAACCGGATTCACTTAATAACCGGGTTGCTAACTTATCAACGGCACTGATTCACTTAACAACCGAGGCAGGAAAAGTCGTAAAATGGAGCAAAATTCACTTAACAAATGTCTCACTTAACATAAACAGAAATTTTGGGCTCAGTTGTGGTCGTAAGTCGAGGATTGCGTTTTTACTCTTTTCCTGCATTTTGTTTATTGTTCTTTGGTTCTTTTTAACTATGTGAGTTAAAAGAGTCACAAATGTGAGATGGGCAGCTGTACAAATAACATTAAATAAATAGCTACCATGAACCAGCCTAGAAGAGCACAAACCCAGGTCACGTAACGTGTTCATTGACCAGAGCCTTTGAATTCACAATTTTGGGTTAATGGAGTCAATTAGAGTGAAGCTACTTGCTCTTCGGTTGCAAAGGACTCGCAGAACCCTCCAGGTATTTCCTGGAGAAAAATGGACGGAGCGTCTGCATTACCCTAATTGTCAGTTTGATTTATGTGACGGTGCTGCCAGAACTCCTGGCAAGGAGATTTGACTGGGCTAGCAGGTGATCCGATTAAACGTGTAGAGGAAACAGAATTTCAGGGGACACCGATGCTGGCTTCCTTTTCTGTCCTTTACTGCAGTAATTAGAATTTGCATTGATCTAATATCCAAGGTGATTGTGCTGGGGGGGGGGGGTGGCATTGCCAACCTTCCTTTTCCTGGAATTGTGCAGGAGAGATGATGAGTCGCCTGAAGTATGCCTGAGGTTCTGAGAACATGTGGGAACCTCTGCCTATATTTGTTGATACAATATTCCTTTTTTTAAAAACAACAACAACAACAACACTCCCCCAATCTTACTCTCGTAACTTGACAAATTTCATGGCTTTAATAACTGCAAAAAAAAGGAGCAGAGGATGGATAATAACTGCCTGAGCTGCCTGCCCTGGTTTAGATAAAGCTGAATTGGATGATTTTGTGCCCAAATTGCACTAAGACCAGAGAACTGACACTACTATGAGGAAGACACAACCATAGAATCCCACGAGTGCCTACCTTGAAAGGAGAAGGGGGAATCCCCCGAAATGTAAACAGAAATGACAGTTTCATCTCGTAGGATCCTTTTGCCAAATGCTACATAGAGAGGGGCTCCTCCGGGTGCCGTCGGCCAAACAATGCCGACTGGCGGCCCCCAGGGGGAGAGCCTTTTCTGTGGGGGCACCTACTATCTGGAACGAGCTCCCCCCAGAGATACGGAGGATCCCGGATCTGCGCACCTTCCGCCGCGCTTTAAAGACCTTACTATTTCACCAGGCGGGCCTGGCCTAACTTTCTCCCTCTTTTATAAAAGATTTTTAATTTTTAAACATCTTTTAGTATTTTATACATTCAATTTTAAAATTGGTTTTAAAAAGTTTGGGGTTTTAAATTTGTCGGGGCCAAAGTTATTTAATTTGATTTTATTCTACTTTTAAATTTTGTATGTATGTGTTTTATTGTTTGGCTGTGCACCGCCCTGAGTCCTTCGGGAGTAGGGCAGTATAGAAATCAAATCAAATAAATAAATAAATAAATAAATACACCTTGTGCACCCGCAGATACAAACGGGAGCCTGCGTGACAGAGGTGCGCCTTCTCCTCGCACACAGCGAGCAAAACGAACGGCCTAGCTAGTAATGGCATTATTGATGCATTATTGATGCCTTGCTATAGCATGACTGATTCTGAAGTGCGCGAATCCTCTTTCTGCTATTCAGAAACAGAGCCCGACAACCCCTTGCCTCCAGCGACTTCCCCTGCTTACCGGGCCTTCAATGAGCCCAGATGGAGAAGAGACTCAGACAGGGACAGGAAACGCTCAGGGGGGGCCACACAAGAATAAGGAGCGCTCCATTCATGCACAATGACTGCAGTTGCCTCTAAGGGAGACAACAAAGCTAAAAAAGCAGGAAGAGACGAGAATAGGATCCAACTCGCAATTTGCAAAGGGAAAAAAAAAAAAACCAGAAACACACAGCTTTTGAAAACTTAAATCCACGTTGCCTACCTCCACAATTCACCAGCATGTAGAATTGGACAAAGTGGCGGTATTCACCCCAAATTCTTAATCTGGTTCACCATTACTCCAGACCCTCCCGCTAGATCTCGCATCACTTAATCATGCTAATTGAGTCAACAACAATTATTTTGGGGAACATTTCTACCTAGCTGCAATCAAATTACCCTAAGCAGTTTGATTATGATTATGTTCCATTACATCAGTGTCAACTGCTAGTGAACAGCTGAGATATTTTTTTTTTCCCTAGGATAATCTGTTTTCTAATTGCTCCATCAGGTTTTCCGGCAGAGTGTACTCCGCTGTTGTAATGAAGCCCATCCATCTTGCTGCTATTTCCCCCCCTTTCCTCCCCCCCACTTTTCCCAGCATTGTGGAGTTTTCTATAGAGCTGTGTCTTCACAAAATATGATAATGTGTGGTCATTTGTGCCTGGAGTGAAAAGAGTGTGGATTGATTTGTTCTATGATCTATTTGTTGGCTTTCTTGGCTATCCGTATTATTCTTAGGAGTCTTCTCCGAATCAAAGTTCAAAAGCATCAGCTCTCTTTCTATCCTGCGTCTTCAAAATCCAACTTTCACTTCTGTAGGTGGAAATCATTGCCTGCACAATTCTGATTTTGTATGGGATTGACCCAGGGGTGAAATCCAGCAGGTTCTGACAGGTTCTGGAGAACCGGTAGCGGAAATTTTGAGCAGTTCGGAGAACCGGCAAATACCACCTCTGGCTGGCCCCAGAGTGGGGTGGGAATGGAGGTTTTGCAATATTCTTCCCCCAGGAGTGGGGAGAGAATGGGGATTTTGCAATATCCTTTCCCTGGCATGCCCGCCAAGCCACGCCTGCCATGCCATGCCATGCCACGCCCGCCAAGCCACGTCCACAGAACCAGAAGTAAAAAAATTTGGATTTCACCACTGGATTGACCTGTCCCACCCATGACAGCAGAGGAGGCATGCTGCAGACCCCATTGGCCAGAGAATTCCAGCTGGCAGGGTCCAGGAGAAGGGCCTTCTCTGCCATTAATGCCTGCCCTCTGGAACACCCCCCCCCCCAGAGCGAGGTCAGCTCCAACCCTCCTGATCTTCCATAAGAGCCTAAAGACCTGGCTCTGCCAGTTGCCTTGGGGCACCAAAGGAGAGGCTTCATGTTGGAAGTGGCTGATAGATTAATATCAGGTCCCACTCCCCCCCCCCCACTCATCCTACACCTCTCTCCCCATCTTTAAGCTATTGAATTTTGTATTTTTATGTTTTTGTAGTGTTTTACTTATATAGTTCTATAGTTTTATATTTTAATATTGTAAGCTGCCCAGAGTTACCCTATGGTAAGATTGGGAGCCAATAAATATGATAGATAGATAGATAGATAGATAGATAGATAGATAGATAGATAGATAGATAGATAGATGATGGATGGATGGATGGATGGATGGATGGATGGATGGATGGATGGATAGATAGATAGATAGATAGATAGATAGATAGATAGGCAGACAGGCAGGCAGGCAGGCAGACAGACAGACAGACAGACAGACAGACAGACCGACCGACCATCTGAATGTTTTTGCCAAGGCTTTCATTACTACGTTACTGTACTAAATGCTAGCCTGAAGTGTGTTTTTTGACTGCTGGGTCCTCTACTGCAGGGGTCTCCAACCTTAACAACTTCAAGACTTGTGGACTTCAACTCCCAGAATTCCCCAGCCAGCAGTTTCATGTAAACTTTAAACTAATGGGGAGAGAAGGTGAGCCTGTAGAGAGTAAGGGAGGTGACCTTGACAAGAAGTATGCAAGAACCATTACATAGGCAAGGATGGCTAAAATGTTTTTTAAAGTCATCATAAACAAGTTCGTCTTCAGAATATTCAGGCAGAGACTTCCCTGCGCCGCTGTATTATAAGAAGGCAGGGATGTATAGCACAATCAGATTTGCAAGATTCTGTTCTTATAGCAAATCTGAAAAAAGTATACCGTTAGTTCTGGTCTTTTTCTGGACTTGATTTACCTAGTGTTGCTGACAGAGCTTTGGGCATTTGGATTCTGAGGGGCTCGTAGACGGGTTGTAGGTCAATTCCATCAACAGACACATGGACCTACAACCCGCCTATGAACCTCTCAGAATCCAAATCAACCACACAGCCAACCAGAGATGGCACCGACCCTCAACTGACCCACGTAACTCCCCACCACTACCACCAGCAGTTCACCTCTCCATGACCCTGACCTGATGTAACCTCCCTATCACAAGACTCTCGCTGATGATTCACACCTGACCCACCACAAGACCCTCCCTTGACACACCCACACCTGAAGCCCTTATAAACAGAAGAACACCGATATCCCCTAAACTCCGCTGAAGATGTTACCCAGCCTGGTAACGAAGCGTTCGGAAACCAACCCACAAGCTCGGAGAACAAACCTTCACCCTCATCCTACACCCGAACTATAGATAATTTAATTTAATTTAATTTAATTAATTCAATTTATATTTTTATTTATTTTTATTTATTTATTTTTTAAATTTTTATACTGCCCCCTCTCCCGAAGGACTCGGGGCGGTGAACAGCCAAAATTAAAAAAACATGCAATATAAACATTAAAATACTATAAAACAAAATTAAATTTATCTTAGGCTTCCCCCAATTTAAAAACCCCTTACCCATAAAATTCACCAATTAAAATTTTTTTAACCCAGCCCGGCTTGCTGAAATAAAAAAGTCTTCAGAGCCCAGCGGAAGGTCCGGAGGTCCGGGATCAGTCATATCCCTGGGGGTAGCTCATTCCAGAGGGTGGGTGCCCCCACAGAGAAGGCTCTTCCCCGGGGGGTCGCCAGCCGACATTGCCTGACCGACAGCACCCTGAGGAGGCCCTCTCTGTGGGAGCGTATTGGCCGGTGGGAGGTTATCGGTGGCAGAAGGTCGTCTCGTAAATAACCGGGCCCTAAGCCATGGAGCGCTTTGAAGATGAGAACCAATACCTTGAAGCGCACCCGGAAGACCACTGGAAGCCAATGCAGGAGAGATGTCACGTGGGAGCACCATGTCGCCCCCATAGGTACCCGCGCGGCCGCATTCTGCACCAGTTGGAGCCTCTGAGTGCTCCTCAAGGGGAGCCCCATGTAGAGAACATTGCAGTAGTCCAGGTGGGAAGTGACGAGGGCATGAGTGACCGTGCATAAGGAGTCCCGATCCAGAAAGGGGTGCAACTGGCGTATCAGGCGAACCTGATAGAAAGCCCCCCTGGCCACGGCCATCATATGCTCTTCTAAAGACAGCCGTGCATCCAGGAGGACACCCAAGTTACGCACCCTCTCCGTGGGGGCTAATGTCTCACCCCCAGTAGTCAGCGAGGGCACCAGCTGACTATATCGGGACGCCGGCAACCACAGCCACTCAGTCTTGAAGGGGTTGAGTCGGAGCCTGTTCCTCCCCATATGCCGCCCCTCTCCGAAGACAGGTATTTGCCACTATTGCAAAAGAACATATCACTCCATCCAAGTCCTGCCACAGGTCATCTGCAAGAGTGACTGATGCAGTTTGTATTCCATGCCCAGGGAATCTTCCCTTAATGCTCTCATGATTGCCAGGTTAATTCGTTAGGATTTTTGAGAAGATACAGATATTTGTAAATGTAGCTCATCTTCCCAGTTTATGGCATCTGTTTCCTTTGAACAAAATACTGCACCTCACGCCTTGACTGGATTAGAAGGTTCCCACAACACCTGGACCATGAAAAGTCCCCATTACCTGTATTATGTGAATCTTCTATTGAGCAGGATTCTTTTCCTGCCTCCCTCTCTGTTTGCAAGCTCTGTACCTGATCATCAGTGCCAAGAACTGAAGGGAGCAGCCATGATTTGGAGATGATCGTCCAAAAAAATGTTCCATTTCATCTGAAAAATTTAATCTGCCCTGTTTCCAAAAATAAATTGTGGAAGTATGAATTACATTTTTCACGCTCAATTTTGTTTTAACATAGCTTCTCCGTTTTCTTTCATGACATTCTCCCTGCCTACTTATGATTCAGGAGCTTCAACAGCTGAGAAACCAAAAGGGGCTGCAGCAGCAACCAGATGATGAATATGAAGAAACCCGTCAAAAGGTGCAGGTAACAAAGACAATGGAGGGTGAGAAATGGTTATGGAAAAAGTCCAAGGGAGGACATGGCAAAATACCTGTATGGGGTGGTTTCTTTGCCACCAAGCAGCTTGGGTTGTGAACAATTCTGATGTGATTCATTTCTTTGTTTCTTCCTGGTTTTCTTTCCTGTCAACCCAAAGGTGCTTTTTCAAGAGGCAACTGGACTTTCTGGTTTTCCTTTGAAGATGTTTCACTTCTCATCCAAGAAGCTTCTTCAGGTCTGACTGGATGGTGGGGAATGGAAAGATTTATACTTCTTGCAGACAGCTGGTCATTTGCATTCTTTTAGAGAGTTGTTAAGGCTGTCTTATTATTGGAGGTTTATCTGTGTCATCGGGGTCTACTGTGTTGTAGATAACGTGCATATACCATGTTGCTCAGTTTGTGTCTGGGTGTTTTATCCTTCAGGTGGACAAGCTTCTGCATTAGCTTGTCCACCCCAAGGATAAAACATCCAGACACAAACTGAGCAACATGGTATATGCAATACGATGCAGTGAGCCATGTGCAGATCTGTACATTGGGGAAACAAAACAACCACTTCATAAACGCATGGCACAACATAGGAGAACAAAACCATCAGGAGTAGATTCAGCAATCCATCCATCTGCATTTAAAAGACAAATGCCACTCTTTTGAAGACAGCAAAGTCCACATTTTGGACAGAGAGGACTGCTGGTTGAAAGGGGGGGGGGTCAAAGATCTATGTCAAAATTGAAACAGTCCTCTATCAACAGAGGGTGAGGGATATGACATCATCTATCTTCAGTTTACAACACTGTCCTTTCAACAGTTCTAAGAAGGCTCCACACCCATTTGCACTATTCTGGTGACCCGGAGGACACAGATAAATCTCCAACGACTCGCTAAAAGGATGCAGATGACCAGCTGGAATATAAATCCTTCCATTCCCCACCATCCAGTCAGAGCTGAAGAAGTTTCTTGGATGAAAAGTCTTCAAAGAAAAACCAGAAAGTCCAGTTGCCTCTTTGAAAAAGCACCTTTGGGACAACCATGACCTGGATGACTGAGAATCTCCATAGACTTTTCTCTCTACCTTCTGGTTTACGTTATTTGTCTGAATCATAGCTTATGAATATTTGAAGCTGCCTTATGCCAGATCAGATGCCTCTAGCCCAGAATGACCAGTACCCACAACTTTGCATGGGTTCCCACAGGGAAAACTTTTCTCACTTCTACTGTAGCAGAAATCCTTTTATATAGGAGATGCCCGGGGGGGAAGTCTGCCTAAGAAGCTCAGGTTCCTTTTCAAAGAGTGCCCAAGCCAGGCCTTTCCAAGCTCATGAATATTTGATTTCCAATCAAATATTGGACTCTTCCTTTTTCTTTCCGTAGGACCTAGAGAGACAGAACACAGAGCTGGAGCGACGCTTGCATTTGGCCGAACAGTCTCTCTCGGAGACCCTTTCTGAACGGGAGAAGATGTACCAGGAGGTAGCCAAATTGGCAGAGATCATGGACATGAAAATCTTCGAGCTGAGTGAGCTCAGACAAGACTTGGCTAAACTTGTGGAGAGCAACTAAAGCAGGAAACGGAAGAAGAACCAACCCTCCTTTAACCCTGGCTTGGTGTGCTCGGGCGATCAGCATGGAGATGAAGTGAAGACTTGCTTGACTTGTCCAGTGGTCGCATCCTTTCTCCTCTCTGGACATCTTGGGAGAAGCGAGTCTAGAGGAGGTAGCGGCTGGAGAGGGACCTCCAAGCCAATTTCTCCAGCCTTATTTTCCTTTCAGATGCTTCCATTTCTATAAACCGTGATGTGTTTTTTGCCTATCCTGAGGCAGTACGATGGGTTTTTTCCACCCCAGTAGTTTTTGATAGAGAACTCTTCACTCTTCCCCTCGGCCATCCTATGGAACCGATGGCCGAGTCAAAATCCCCCTATTGTTTCCCTGTAACCCTGGTGTTGTGTTTTTAGCAAGACTGCTTTTTATAGATGACTCAACGCTTCCGTCAAGCTTTGCAGTCAAGCACTCCTAGAGAATCCATTTTGGGAAGAAATCTTGAGAAAAGACGATTCTTCTTTTCTCTTCTTCTTTTATTATATGTATTGTGGGGAGGGCTGTTTGTTTTTAATCTCAAAATCAGCACTGAATATTTTTTAGCAAATCTGCAAACTATGATATTCCGCTGAAAAAAAAATGGAAAAAAAAAGAAAGGCAAGAGTGGGAGGGTATGAAAGCTACAGAGAAAAAGGTGATCCCTAGGAGTGGGGAGGTACAAGCTGGACCATTTCTCAGTTGGACAGCTGCCAAACGCTGATGAATTAGGATAGACTAAACCTTTCTTTCTTTTTTGTCTGGCAAAGCAATGCAATTCAGCACCAAGCAACAGATCCAGAAATGGGGGAAAGTGTGGGAGTTTGTAGGAACACAAGTTCTAGCATGCACCCCTGTTACTTAGCTTCCTTCAACCTGGCACCATGGTGGCCAGGAAAGACGGGAGGTGAATTCCAACATAGTTAGAGAGTACCTGGTTCGGAAAGGTGTCCCTTGATTTAATTCCCCTTTCCTTGTCTTTGTTAGCCCAAGCGCGAGGCTTGAAAGAGGAAGCTAACATGTCATGTCACTCAGAGAATTATCTTAGGGGATCAGCCCTGGATTTGTTTGGAGCTAAAGTCATTCTCTCCAGTGAGCCACTATAGCTTCCTTAGGAATTGACTGATTTTTTCCCGTTCTGAATTAGAACTCTACAGAAAGACCGCATAGGAAGGTGCACTCTATAGCAGGGGTCTCCAACCTTGGCAACTTTAAGACTTGTGGACTTCAACTCCCAGAGCTTTGCTGGCTGAGGAACTCTGGGAGTTGAAGTCCACAAGTCTTAAAGTTGCCAAGGTTGGAGACCCCTACTCTATAGCACTCCCATGTCTGCCATAAATTTGTATTTTCAGGCCTTGCAACCCTCGGGGGATGGAAAATGAGGCAGAAAGGGGCGTGGTGAATCTTTGCTCTATTGTCACCAACTTCATGGCACCACGAGTCAGTCCTTTTTTTTCCTTTTTCACTCCCAAAAGCAAGACAACGGGATGGGAAGCAGCAGCAGCAGCCTCCAGCTTCTTTGGCAGCAACTGAGCCAGACCTAAGAATGGCTATTGATCTGACATGCAGTATCTATCCCAGATTGTGTCCTAGTGGCACATAAAAGGCAGGCAGCTGGCCAGGGAAGGAGATGACTGGGTTAGCCACGGCAAAGGGTCTACGTCTGAGCATGAGACATAAAGGGCCTTTGAGAATCCAGCATGCTTCTGGAAAGGTAGCAGCAGCTGCAGCAGCAGCTTGTTAAAAGATCCCTTGGAACAGGCTGAGCATTGATTCCAGAGATGTGATCTGAAAAGAGAAGAAAATTCAAATCTCACCCTGCTGTCTCCCCCCCACTCTCAATTTCTCCCTCCCCCCCTTCTCAAGAACCCAAGTCTCTGAGCTTAGTTACGATAAGGTTCTTCTGTTCATTTGGGTACTGTTTGCAGTTTGATAACATGGTTAATAATGGTGTTAGTGAAAGTTTTTTTTATTGATATTTTCTCTCACTTCGGTTTAGTGCTATATGGTTGGAACAATAACCCAAGAAGTGATTTGTATGGACAAAACCTTTGTGTGACTCTCTTGAATTTCTTCACGGTTTCAACAGGCAAAGTGAAATCCCGCGGGGAAGGCTGACAAGCTTTGTTCTAAATTTAACTTTCCATTGTGAGATTCTAGCACTTTTGATTTTTAACGTGAGAGCGAGAACATAAGAAGAATCTCGTTGGATCTGTCCTGCCCGTTGCACCCAGCATCAGTTTCCAGTGTTTGGCTGAACAGTTTATAAGGATGAGATGGGACTTTGCAGTCAGTTTGTCCCTTGCAATCAGTAATAAGGTACATTACTTCTAAGACTGGAGATTCTAGTTAATATCTAATGTACTATATGTACATTTCAGGGGTGAAATGCTCCCGGTTCGGACCAGATTGCCCGATCCGGTAGCGATGGCGGCAGATGGTTCAGAGAACCGGTAGCAAAAATCCCTGCCCCCCCCCACATGCCCAGATTGTGCACCACAGCTGTTCACCTGCCCCTCGTGCGCTGTTATACTTACCACCACGTAAGTATAAATGCAAGTAACCTTGCATTTGGTGCGTGGTCCGCACTGTGCATGCACAGCCAGCGAACTGGTAGTAAACCGGTTCAGATTTCATCATTGATACATTTCAGTGGTCGGTTCCTCCCAGTTTGGCCCAGTTCCACCGAGCCGGTAGCGGTGACGATATGATGTCACCGAACCGATTCTAAATAATTGTCACATGACCATCAAGCCATGCCCACAAAATAAGCCACGCCCACAGAACCAGTAGTAAAAAATTTTAGAACCCACCCCTGATACATTTGTTTGTAATCTTACTAAGTCAACTAAGACTTTTCATTTGGAATCTGATTATATATTGAGAGAGAGAGAAATTAAGTGATTCCCAGTGAAATCTGCAAACGTTGGCAGGTTGAATAATGGATTTATCATCAAAGGCTGGACGTAGAATCCCTCATGTTGTTGCCTTCCTATTATTAGTAGAAAAAGTAGATACTGTCATAATTACATCTAAACAGCTGGACCCAGAATTCAAAGCTTAAGAATACATTTGAACCTGCGGATTGTCCTTAAGGATCCTGATTCATGTTTGATGGAGTGTTAATAAGACGGTCCAAGTCTCACATTTTTTTTCTTTGCCTTCCCCTCCCCCCTCCCCCCCCCCTTTTCATGGCAGAAATTTAACTGAAATGTTGGTTTGATCTCAGCTGCTCTTGCTTAACATTACAGGGCTGATTGTGATAGAATTTGGAATAACCTCCCAAGTGAACCTGTACATGCCCAGGTAAATTGAAACCCCAGTCACAGCAAGCTTATAGCTCGGTGATGAAGGAAAAGAACAGGTAACTTTGCAGGTCTTTTCCAACTTCTTTTAACAGTTTCCTTCCACTTGGATGGAGTTGGAGCATCTCAACAAGACCTGAGATGGGAAAAAGATAGGCCTTTTCTTTCCAGAGGCTTTCTTGTCCTTCCCTGTACGTTAACTCTTGTGTTAAGATCAAAGCTAACCTTACGGCAGTTTTGCTTCTCTGGGATCAAGTCAGGATGATTCCCCGATGCCCCTGATTGTGCTCATTGTCCTGCACTATTAGGGACAGCGCAGCTCCTTCTACTGTCCTTGAAGGCACCAACATGGATCAGGACACAAACAGCACTCATGGGACCCAGACGGCTCCATCGGCTCGTTGCAGGGTTGGCAGTCCATGGAGATTTTACTGATTTTCGTCCGAAAAGGGATCAGTGATGCTCTTAACATCACAAGGGGGGGGGGAATACTCACTTGCTAAAAGAACAAAACCGAAGTAACCCCGTGCAAAACGCTGCAGAAAGGCTGCGCTCTGCTAGAGTAGGGGCACGGGGTCAAATCATGCAGCAGGGCTATTTCAAGCCATTTCGTGCCCCACCTCTCTGCCACTGGAGGGGCTCTCCTTCCTTTCCTGGTTACAGCCAGTCCTGAACGGGAAGGATCTTTCAATGCAAAGGAGGTTTTTTTTTTAACTGAAAGGGGACTCTGCATTAATGGGACCAATTCGAATTCAATTCAGTTCAAATCTTTATTGTCAGCGCACAACATATGTACCATGAGATTGGTTGAGCTCCCTCAGTGCACCCGCCCCCAACACAATACAACTCACAGTGAAGACAGAAAATCCCTAACCCAATAAACCATATCAACAAAACACCCAGTCCTATTGCACCGGTGTGAACATGTTACGCATTGCACCGGCCCTGCAGTCCAACATACTACATACTTACAATGTTATTTCTCATTCAGCCCATGGATAAAAATTATTCCTCAGCCCGTTTGTGCGGCTGGCTATACTTCTGTATCTCCTTCCTGATGGTAGGAAGGTAAAGACGTGACCAGTAGTGAGAGTCATCCCTGAGAATTATCCTCATTCTTCTAAGGCAGTGATGGCTAACCTTTTTGCCATCGTGTGCTAAAAGTGGGGGGAGCATGGGGAGGTCACCCACGTGTGTGCCCACACCCATTTTTTTAAAAAAATTTTTTTATTTGATTTATATGCCGCCCTTCTCCGGAGACTCAGGGCGGCTTACAATGCGTTAAGCAATAGCCTTCATCCTTTTGTATATTTATACAAAGTCAGCTTATTGCCCCCACAAACTGGGTCCTCATTTAACCTACCTTAGAAAGGATGGAAGGCTGAGTCAACCTTGAGTCTGGTGAGATTTGAACTTGCAGTAATTGCAGGCAGCTGTGTTAATAACAGGGTGCTTTAAACCACTGTACTACTAAGGCTCCTCCCCACCCATAATTCAATGCACCCCAACCCTGCACATGTGCACGCGTCCCCTCCCCACTTTTAGCACGTGATGGCCCGGTGGGCCTGGTAGGTCTGTTTTTCACCCTCCCCAGGCGCCAGACGGTTTCTAGGAGCCTTGGGAGGGCAAAAATGACCTTTCCCACCCCTCTGGAGGCCCTCCGGAGGCCGGAAACAGCCCATTTCCCAACTTCTGGTGGGACCAAAAGGCCCCAAAATCAGCACACAGATACATGCTGGAGCTGAGCTACGGCAACGCTTGCGTGCCCACTGATATGGCTCTGTGTGCCACCGGTGGCACCCGTGCCATAGGTTCGCCATCACGGTTCTAAGGCAACGAGCCCTAGCAATGTCATCTAGTGGTATCAGGGGGCAGCCCACGATGTTTTGTGCTGTACTCGTCACCCTCTGTAATGCTTTTCTATCCGCGGCTGTCAGACCAGCATGCCATACCGTGATGCAATAAGTGAGGACACTTTCTATGGTGGACCGGTAAAAGGAGGTCATCAGTTGTTCCACCCTGTTTTTACCCAAGACCCTAAGGAAATGGAGTCTCTGTTGGGCCTTCCTGGCCACCTGGCTTGTGTTGTTTTTCCAGGTGAGGTCTTCGCTGAGATGGATTCCCAGGACTTCCATAAAATCACAGCTTGACAAACGAGCTCTTTCTCAGAAAAGCCATCCTGTCTCCCTTTGCCTGTCCCTCGTTCTGATGGTCCAGGCAGCAGAGATGGAGCTATGGAGGGGAGGGGAGGGGAGGGGAAAGGATGAATCTGCTGAGAAAGTGAATTGTTCAATTACTCATGAAAGAGAATGTAGCAGCTAAAGAAGGCACTCAACCACTGCAAACCAGTGAGGGATCATAGACCCCATTTTGCCCCCCACTAGAAAAGATGGCAGAACCCCCCACTGTGCCTTTCTGTAAAGCAGTCCTTCACATCCATTACAGTCATATAAAGCCTGTAACTCGGAGACCTTGGTTAGTCTTTCAGTCCTTTCAATCTTCCTTCCTTGGGATTATTTTCTTGTTCATTTCGGTCAAACCCAGTCCTGTTTGTCTATTATCTTATTTATTTATTTGATCAAATTTGTATACCGCCCTACTCCCGAAGGACTCAGGGCGGTGAACAGGCACAAAATAAAACACATAGATACGAAAGTTAAGAGCAGAATTAAAACCAAATTAAATTTTTAAGCCCAAGACAATTTAAAACATCCCAAAAATTTAAAACAAATTTAAAATTTAAATTTAAATTAAAAAATTAAAAGGGGGAAAGGTCAGGCCGGGCCTGCTTGCTGAAATAGAAAGGTCTTTAGAGCGCGGCGGAAAGTGCGTCTTAAGAGTGATAAGGATTCCCTCCATGTGTTCATCTGACATTGTTTTCTCAGCAAGTTGCCAAGTTTTGGATCCAGCATAAGAGTCTCTTGGCTCC